TCTGTTATTCTGCTGCTAACAACAAAGCAGATGAATTAGAAAAAGAGAGAACTGGAAAAAGGAAAGAAACAGTATTACACAAGTTGAATAGCTTGATCGCTATGATATATATATATATATATATATTCCTATCTCTTTGTTTCATCATCTCTGATTATACATAAAACAAAAAAAGATAATTTAATTTTTAACCTTTGCTTTTTCTTAAATCGATTTCTAAACGGTGATCTTTTTTTTATTATATTTCATTAATAGCGTTGTTGTCATCTTCTGGACCGATTTCACTTAACTCTTCAATTGTCGATATCAATCTAAATTTACAATTGCATTATACATAAATCTTCTATATTAATGAGAGTTCCTTTTTAAAAGGAACTCTATAAATTTATATTTATACATTAAATTAAATTTTTTGAGATTTTATAAACGATACATCTTGCGAAAAGTGACGAGCTGATCGCATCCACGCAATACTCTATAAGTCAATCTTTATTCAAGTAATATATTTCTCAAACAAATTCTTCGAGTTTGATAATCATGAGCCAAAACTGTGCATGAGTATTCTGCGTATACAATTCAATTATTTCTTAATTAATATACACATTTAGCTCTCTTTATAACACTTTAAACCGCGAATACAAGGGATTTGTTTGCTATATTAATTATCTTCAAGGCTAAAAGTGTTAAAAATGGCTTTTTCAATAATATGATTTTCCTTCGTTTAAATCCAGCGCACGTTTGAAGTATATACCGTAATCCATGCATTCGAGACTTAAGACAGTCGCAACCAACGTGCTTCGGGTCGCAACATCGAAACGGTATATGCAACTTCCGCATTGTCACAATTCGTACACACATTCCTTCACGTTTTTTACATTATTTTACTATAAATAATATTATGCTTATCACACATCGATTGCGAGACGTTACCCTATCAATAAGATTAATCTTTTGTCATTATAAAAGAAATATTGTGATGATTTCTAGCGTTTTCTTAGTGTCTAAGAAAACGATTAAAAGCGATAGAATTTCGAATGGATATTAAAACTGAAGCTTATTGATTAGTATCATATACACCAAGCAGTCTTAAAACTTTTTTCACTGTTTTCTGCGAAATTATCTCGTCTCATGTAATACCAATTTTTCATTATTATACGATGCCCAGATCCAAATACACTCTCGTCTAAATTTTATGAAACAAGCTGCATTGGGAAATCGCGAGCTTGCAAATCAGCGCGGTACAAGATAGGCTCTTCTTCGGTATTATATGAGAGACCAGAAGAAGAGCCACGATTATTGCACAAAGATACGCTGATATACGGTAAGTAACTTGCCCGAATTGATCGATCTGTTCGCGCGCGGACAGCCAGTCCCTAATTAAGTAACGGCGCCTCTGACGCGGTCGGCTTCGGTTAGAATGACTTTGATCACGTCGCGGCGCGCGACGATAAGTAAGAGTCTTGCGGATGAATGGCGTGTTCACCGCAGCCATATCAGCTAGTGATTGTGGTTGTAGAGATGCCACCTCTGCGTCTCCGCATTCGAGTCGCACTTCTCCGCCGTGATACCGCGCTGCGCGTGATACCGCGAGTCCACACACACAGGTATTCTGGTGTGGCGGATCAAGCCGCCTTCCAAGTGCCGCCACTTTTGATTCTCGCTGCCGTCGCAGATTTGCATCAGTAGCGTCGTGCCCTTGGCGTACACCGGTAGGGTCAGGCAGAGATCGTGATGCTTGATCAAGCCGTCTTTTGTGAGGCCCCACTCCTGCGAAATGTATACCGATGTTTATCTATCGAATATATTTCAACTTTTATTGAATTTAGATTATTCCTTTATTCCGATATACTCACCTGATTGCCACCGGTGTTATGACAAGGATAGAGACCAACGTTTCCGTCGAGAAGATGGCCCATGCTATCTAAGCAGGCAGTGCCTTGCTTCAAAGAGCCTCCTGGACCACCCTCGCTCGTAGGTATTATCAATTCGGGATAGACGTTCTTCAGATACCAACTAAAAGGCTTGCAATGCAGTTTTCGTTTTAGCTCCATTCTGTCTTGGATACTGAAACACGTAATTATTTATAGAAAGACAATACATAATTTTGCATTCTTTTAATTAATTCTTCTATTTTTATGTATTTAATAATATCAAGGTATATATTGATGCGAATGAGGAGAGTTCAGTTTTAAGAAATAGATTTTTATACATGTTTCGTGTATTCAAATATGTAGCGTACTTTGATGTGGCGTTAAACGACATGTGATGAAACGCAGTGAAATTAGAGCTCTGTCTCTCGAGAGTTTAATTGAAACGTCGGCGCAACTAGACTTACTTTCCGTAAGGGATATTTCGTGCCAACGGCACGGCGTTATAGTAGAATTGCTTGTAGTCGTCCATCCATACTTCGGCGGCACGCCTCGTGTTTCGCGCAAACACGTTTCCGCTGCCTCCGGGGAACGAGTAAGGATGACGTTTGCGGAATACATGGCCCACACGTGAGCACGGGATAATCTCTAAGCTGCCACCGCATTGCCACACGCGAAACGATATTTCTGAAAGAAAGTTACAAGTGTGCAATGTAAGCGGTATAAGCGCAAAAGTTAAATGTGAGGAAGGGAGTAAATCAGAGTGTAGTGAAACAAAAGAGAATGCATAAATTCCCGGATCTAATTTTTTCTTATGTCGCATTATTCCTACATTTCTGAAGTGCTTTTTGTTGTATATAATATTATAAAGGAAAATTAAAAATCCTATCTCTATCTCGACAAGAGTTTTAAAAAACATCTTATATCTTAGAATATATAATATACACATTATTTGCAAAATTTTATGTTAGTAAATAGAAAAATGCTGTTTTAATACACAAATCACTTAAGTTGCGCTAAACTGAGATAATATTAACATTATTCCGAGGAACTCGACAATTTTTCTTCTCCATTCGAAATGAGGTCGAAGTTATTTCACACTTTTGACATATATTGGTTTTCTCGCTATGTTTTCCACGAAGTTGTTACAAACTGCGCACAAGATGGTAGTTTCGAATAGTTTGTTTTCTTTCATGTTTGAAACCTGTAACGACAGACGCAGCATCTTTCCTGATACTTGGAGAATAATTGATGCTTTAAACGTAAACAGGCAACGTGACACTTTACGCGATATCGATTAAGTGTGAATCTTATTAAAGATTGAAGAGTCGCTTGATCAATTTTAATTCATTTTATTGAATAATTTTTATGGCAATAAATAGATAATCGCGATTCTTCACAAACTTTATTCGAGAACCAAAATGTTTTCAATTTTATTTATATATGCAACTGTCAGATATAGTGGCAAATAAGCTAATATTTACGCCAATATTTGATATTTCTTAATATAATGTAATAAAAAATGTTTAAAACTTGTTAAGAAATTATAACTCTCATATTGATCCAATAAAAAGTTTACTCTGCTGCAAGGTACTCATCTTGAGTTGCGCGTGCCTCACACGAAAGTTTTTGTAACGTAGTACATCGGCCACATGCAATATCTCTCGTGGCATTTGCAATTTTCTTAAAGCGAAATATCTCTTTAGACGTTAGTTTTAGAAAATAAATAACAAATTAATACAAATTTAAAAAAGCGTTCTTCTATCAAATATTTTTGCATCTTCTATAAAGAAGAGTAACGTGATTAAAACTATTTAAGAATCGTATGGCGAATTTTTGTTAACTTTTCCCAAACACGCTTTATACTCTGTACACGAAACTATATAATTATACCGAGATTCTCGCCGCCCCAAACGTCCATCTGAGTATCGTATTTGCCGAGTTTCTCAAAGTACGCTTTGTTGATGACAAACAGTCCGCCAGCAATCATAGGGGTCCTAATAGCTTGCGTCGGGTCCTTTTGTCTCGCCTGTCGTTCCGCTTGGCTGAGATACTCCCATTTAAAGACCAAACTCCAATCGAAACCACCTCTGAGGTCAGCGGAAGCTCCTAAGAACAAGATAAAATTGTTTGATTCGCTTAGAAAGGAGTATTGTTTACGTAGATAATTTTTGTGATATCTGAAAAAAGAGAACCGATCTTTTTATTTCTCAAAAATATAAATGATCGTGGAAACGCGTCAATGCTTACGATATACTCACCAATATATTGGAAAGTGTCCATACTGATCACATCGATCACAGGACAGACCACCCTGGTTGGGTCTTCGGCCACCCTTTCCAGAAGTGGTTCAAGCCAGTCCGCGTTGCATTCGCAGTGCGAATCCAAAAATGTCAACACACTCGCGGTAGCTGCATCTGCGCCGCGGACACGCGATCTCATCAATCCCTCTCTCTTTTCGTTTCTGATCACACGAACTTTATGAATTCGCGATAGCTCTTCGCCGTCTTCGGCTGCAAAGAAACCAATTTCCTTTGTTTTACATTTTTAATTTTACATTAATTGAACGCGTTTCATATTTGTAAATTTGTGTACGATTACAATATCATTTTACGTATTTCGTTATGCGATTATTATTTATTATTTTAATTATTTTATTTGCAGCCTATTATCTCTATTCATTTAATGCAAAATATATAATTTCTTGTTAAGAAAATATAAACTTTAAATTGTTAGTATCGAGCATGCACAAATTTCGAGATCATAATTTAATGATACATGTTTAGGGCGATAAATAGTATCATAAATGATGGATTAGGCACGATTCACCAAACCTTTAATGGTATTAAATGCAGTATTAAATGTGTAATATTAAGCACGATTTTCGAGTAATTGAAAATACATATTATTTGCATTTTAATTACGTTAAATTACGTTAAATATTATATACGCACAATATTCTCTTCGTAATGAGTTGACCCGCGAGTATAAATTGTCGCTTTTGTTTATTATAATATCAAATCTTATAACAAATTTATTTTAAATCATTGTAGTTTTACAATTTAAAACTTATGCTTGATAAATAAATAAAATTACTTTTATTATTTTTTTTTTTTAAGCGCTTGAGCTTGTAAATACATAGTATGTGAAACTACTTACGATGATCGCTGAAATCATCTACTAAAATGATTTCCTTGATCAGATGTTCCGGACTTCTGTTCAGTACACTAAAAACAAAAAAGAGCAAAGATTTGTATTTGCAAACTTAAATATATTGTAGAAACTTTCAAATTTAATAAATGTCATTAATATTATTTTTATAAAAATAAAAATTTCGGAAATTATCAATGAAACGTAATAAATATACATAATAATTGTACATTATTGAATTGTCGTTATATCTATATCGTATTGTTAATCACGGTAAGACCTTATAAATATTAACATTGACATAAGATCGTTCTCGCAATCTTTCTTCAATTTAATCAATTTTTATTCAATTTAATCACTCAAAAAAATGTCTTGCTGATATAGGTAGATTTCTAGGTGTCACAACAAAAATTTATCGCTATTTTTTGTATCTGTTAGAATATTGTCTGTTACATATAGAATTTATAGCAGCAATATTCTAATAATATCTTCTAGAAAATTTAGGTCCCATTGCCAAATGTTAATCACTGCATTGGATAAATATGAGTTTCGATACTACAGCTAGAACGATCTTTGTGAGAAATATAACTGCCAATTATAACTGCAGCATCGAAAAATTGAGAGAAATTGTTTAAAAGAGCTAGATAGATTGGGCGCGTTATACAAATATGTTAGATGTGAGGATTATATATTCATTTGTTTCTTGCCGCTAATTTTTTCTGTGTACCACAGCCAAACTTTATAACAAGTATGATTGGCCTTAACATGGATAGGCGCCACAGAAAAACATTCTTTCTAAATTTCACAAACAGTTCAGATATAAATTCTGTCTCTGTCACTTAGATTGATTAAATGCGAAACATATGCGATATCACAGTATTTGCTAATCATTTATGTACCTCAGTTAATTTTGCGCACCCAGAAAATTTTTGCTGTAGTTGCAATACCACTTTTTTGAGTGAAAGATTTCGATACGTCATTTCTTTTCTAAATTACTATAATTCATTTCTATATAAACATTTCCAGTCGATTAACGTCAAATAAAGTGAGGTACCGGATTAAGAGAAGAACAGAAGCTTCAGATTATCCCATTGAATCTTTTATCAAAGTTTCAAGGATTCTGCCTGACCATTTGCCTCTTGTTTGAACGTTCTCGTGTTATCTTGTCCCATTCTATTCCATTAATATAAAATGATTATTGTAAATACTAAGGAATTGAAATAAAAGAGAATTATTGTAAATAATTAGGGCGCCTTTTACTAATTAAGATTATTCTTCCGTGAAGAAATTTTTTAACTCTACGATTATTTTTAATTTAATTAATCTTTAACGTCTCAATAGGCTTATTACAAACATATTAATGAAACAACGAAAGATTATTATTTTTTAATTTCTTTAATCGCATTAAGATACTGTCTTAACTTTCGTAGAAAACTTTGACAAGGCGTGAAATTGATCGTGAAGAATTTTGCGCGTCGCATCAAGATGGTGGTGAGGTGTGGTTTCGTCGTGGTAATTAAGACTTCCTTTTAATTTCATCGACCGAGGTGGTAGAGCCGATATATCTCCGACGCCGCCACGCGTTACAGACTTAAATAAATTTCCCGACTCTTGCCTGTTTCCTTCTTCCGGTTCGACGATGAGAACTTCGAGCAACTTTTGCGCGGAGGCTACCTCCGGCGAGAAATGTGGCTCGTACTTTCCTTCATTCAGGGTGGGACGTCCCGTAGTGAAAAACGTTTCAATTAATACAAGAGCACTTATGACACTTATGAGAAATAATAATGATTTATGTCTCTGAATGATATGTTTCTGGAGAGAAAATATGATAAAAATGTTGAAGTTATTCAGAAAATATCAAATATGAACAATATTATACTTTAATCAGCGATACAATTTTTAAAAAATCTGAAATACAATTTAGAAGAAATTAAAAAAGCCAAATATCGTTAAAATAATTTAGTATCCCTCTTTACGATTTTTTACTACAAATGCGAAATATTATTTTAAACGAATATGTTATATAAATAATGTAAACTAAAAGAGCGCTGCATCAAACGTAGAGTTGTCTCCTTAAAAAACTATTGCCAAATCGAATTAATTTATGCATCATCAACCGATAGCAATTTACAGTTTCCATGAAAGAATGAAGAGAAACTAATTTTTGTATTTTTTTTATATATATTTGACCAAGATCTGTCGGATTCTTCGATTTATCGCATTCATGTATGTAATTACATATATATATATATATTCATATATAAACGCATAATAAGTGCGAGGGATATAAAGCGATGGAACGACGATTAAAAAATTCCATCGCATGCCGTCACCCAATTCCGGGTGGAATTGAGAATCTTCGCGCGTTTCCCACAACTCGTTGATCGCATCGAGAATTGAAGATTGTCGTGCTCCACGTATCTATACCATCTACGACCGCGTAAGAATTTGCCTCGGTAATTTGATTTGGTAATTATTTTGCGTTTGGGAATTTAATTGCGTAAAAATGCTCACATTTTATTTCTGAATATATTCAATTTCTGAATTATTTTTCATTTTTAATGCCTTAATTTTTTAACACAATTTGCAATTTAGCGGACTATTAAGAGCAAGACGCGGATGGTAGGGCGTCAGTTTCACAGAAAATAAATTTTTCTCTGAAACTGATTAATGTGCACGAATTTTTCTTGCTCCTGTACCAAGTATAAATAAATCTCATTTCGAGATTCTAACAAACCCCTCTATTTATCCACCTGAAGAAGCGTAGACGAGAAAAATCTGTGTTTTCATATATAAGTATTTAATCTTTAATATTATAGTTGTTATAATTATATAATTTTCTAAATATATAATTTTATATATTATATAATTTTTTAAATATTTTTAAAATATTTTACAAACGAAATAATTAAATATGCTAATCTTTGATTAAGTTTATATACAAAATATAATTGTAATATACAAAATATCAAGGAGGAAATAAGAAGATCCATGTATTTAAATTTGAAGTGTAACTGCATTTGCATTTTATGTAAAGCAAAATTGTTTCAAACTTACCTGACGACAGTTCTGAGTAGCGTAGACCGTGCTTCATTGTGGAAAGTAATTATAACGGAAGTCGGTGGCAAATCCTGTCTCCATTGTTTCATTCTACACCTGTAGCGAGAAAATAGCATAATTATGAAGTTGCCAAGAAATCTGAAATGTGTTAGTGGTTTCAATGAAAATCAAGGTTATCGGGTAAAATGTTCTGGTGATGCCTTTCTTTCCACTCTATTCTGCATTTGTATCATTCATACAGTACAAATGCAGATCTTTAATATTATATTTTGTTAAACGATAATCCTGAATTACGTAAAAATAGAGACGATCTCGAAATAAAAATCTCTTTTTTTTTTAAATAAAATTTAAATAAATTTAAATGAAATGAAAAATTGTACAATCTCTATAGGATTAATATTTTCCGACATATGTAATCGAATGCTAAAACGCTTGATGAAACCAGGATCAGGAATCATGATGTTGCGGGACATGGTAAATTATTCAATGCAGTATTAAATTTAGTATTCTTTATTTTAAATTGTTTCAGTACATTCATTGTTTTCTATTTATCAATATTCCGATTTTTATTAATTTTAATTTTGTAAAATAAATATTTGGTTTATCGCGACGGATAAATAATACAGAAATACTTTCCAAAATTCCGACATGGATTTTCTACAGATTTCACTTTTTTTATTGCAATTTCAAGATTTGTATGACGTTTGCCGAGAGATATTTAACAATATTTGGCAATTCTTTTCGTATTTCGCAACATAAATATGCTCGCAAATGAGAAACAAAATGCGTTAAAACTGTCGCATAAATTCGACTCGACTATCCACGTAACGGCGTGAATTTTTACGTCATATTCATAAATTCGTGCTACCGCTTCACTAAAGACGCGCTTGAAAATTGTATTAGCCATCGCTTCGTAGATATAGATGCAAATTGCCGGTACCCGACGTCGGTATAAATTCAAAATCCCTCTCGTATTTCGCAATTCACTTTCTGTTAACTCATTTCTAAATTCTTCTTTTTAAAACGCATCTTATTTTAAACAATATGAAAGTTTGATAAAAGAAAGAACAAGAAAAGTTGAGTGTTTATGATGACAGTGTTCTTTAATTTATGCACAACAATTTATGCAGCCTGGTGGAAAATAAAGTCTCTCCCTCTCTCTTTTTCTTCTGCGAGATTGTTTTAATTTCGATCTGATCATTGAGAAACTTTATTTATTTTTTAATGTAAAAAAAAAACAACATACTATAAAACACATTAACGTAACATTGCTTAATTAAAGCTACTTTTTAATAATGTGTGCATGCAATTAAAAAAAAAGTTAAGATAATTCTACATTTAACAATTTTACGCTTGCTTCGAATTCTCAATATTTTTCTTTTTATGATCTAAGAGGGAAAACAGAGAAAAGTCGGAATAATCATATTCCTTTGATGCGTTGCGTTTTCAAATGCTTGACGCGAGCAGAGAGAATAACGGAAGTGGCCTAACCGCGCCAGAAGTGGTGCTTAAGAATCAGGAACGGGAAGAGAGAAGATCGCGCGTTTATACAGGAGGGCACCGAGTCGGCGCAGAGAGGGCACATAAATGCGACCAGACGATCCCAATATGTCAGCCCCTCTTTGCCAAGATAAACTCGCGGGACGTGAGTTGAATACGGTTTACCATAGGTGCATAGATGGGCGAATGCACTTTTTCGTGACGATGTGCGTCAAACGTGATCGCAAAACTTTCGCACCGCCACTGCTGGAAGCTATCGCGCCTCGTATGCGAGTCACCGAATAGAGGGATGGACCCCTAGAAACGCGCGATTCCCATTAATTTAACTCGAAGCCCCGGATCCGCATCTTCTCAAACATCTCCAATGACAGTCTGCGATCTTTGCGTACTTTGCGTGGAAGTTTGTATATAAATTTCATCACATCTTTTCTTCACCCGTGAATTTTATGTTAACAGCGTCACGTTAGTAATTTTCTCGTTACTTAATTAATATTATTAATTGGTTAATATCCAATGTGTATTTATGTGACATTAGATATCGTTTCATATATAATCAAAAGTTAAAGTGTGATTTATTATTACACTTCTATCGGCGTGTAATTAAGCAACTTGAGCGGCGGCGAACAACTTTGGTAATGAGTAATTTAGATGCTCATTACCGCGCTTCTTGACGCTTTCTCCGCGCCTCGTTGCTCCGATCCCGTAGGCGCGCGGCGGAGAAATCGACAAATTAATTCCGGGGGACCATAATTCCGCATTAAAGCCGACTAGTCTTTACAACGACATGTTTGTCGACAACGAAATTGCGCGCGCGAGCCTTAAAGCGACTCCGGCAGATGAGTTTAATTCGAAACTTCAATTTAGGATCTGCTCCGCACCGCTATATCCGCTAAAGTGGATAATGCGCGACCAGCCCGCACGATTCCATTGGATGCTCGAACGCAATATACAATGTGTTTCCCGAGCGCACATGTATGGGCGGATTGATCATTGTCAGAGAATGCATCATGCGGTAGAGAAAGAGAGTGAGAGGGAGAGAGAAAGATTGGAGTGTAGCTACGAAAATAGTCCGATGTAATTAAAACAAACCAATTTATAACCAAACAAACCATTATTGTCTCTTAATACTGACCAAATTTACAGATCTAATAGAGTAATACATTTAATTTATATATCATAAAATTTTAGATATGAATATATGAGAATTCCAAGACGATTTTTTGACTGATACATCAACATTGTTTTCATGGAAAACTTGAGTTTGACACCTAAAATAAAGAAACTCGCGCTTTATGCATTCAAAAAATCTCTATAATGATATAAGTAATAAAAACTCTTTTATTACAAATTATTTTCGGAGAAAGATTTTTTATTGCAGGTAATATATTAATAATGTGTCGCGAGCAATATGTAAAAAAAAAAGTAATATTAGCGACATCCTCCATATTTAATAATATTAATGATTGGTGATATAACTGTTATGTAATTGTAATATCATATTTCTGGAATATATTATATAACATACACATATATTATTTGTTTAATACTAAATGCGAGTCTTCGACTCGCATTCCGGCAATCGAAGATCTGTTAGAATGTTTGTAGAAGGAGCGATTGCGATTGCTGCAAGGAAAAAGCACATAAAGGGCACGAAAAGGAATTACGTAACACTCAGCGCCCTGTGTGAAAATAGAGTTTCTTTTCCCGCGAAAAATTCCCGTACATTCGTCTCTCGTGGCATGAATTCGCGAAACAGGATATGAAATTTTTAATCCGTCACCGGTCTATGTAAAGTCGAGAGCGAGAACGGGCGTTTCTGGATATAAGAAAATCAGTATGCTTGAAAGGCGACAATCGAATTGGATTTTCGATTCAACATCCGCGTTATTATTTAGAATATAAATCATTTCCGCTGTTTTCGCTGTTTTCCCTGGAAATGAAAAAGGCATATTAACATAGACATCTGATGACATGACACAGAAAGAGAATAAGATGTAGATTGACTAGAAAATATAACGCGAAATGTTATTTGTATAAAATATTATAGTATTATTATTTTTTATTACGGTGTAATTTTATGAAAGCTAACATCTCGGAACAAATATCACAGCTCGATGAAAAGACTATAACGATGCAAATGATCTGCAGTGATATCGATGTACGGTTCCTAGATAGACACGACTGTTGAATTCGTAATCCAATTTTATAGCGCCCGTCTGGTATAAACACGATCGAATCGAGTATCATAGACAATAGACATTTATTATTGAGAGGCGAAATCATATACATCGAATAAAGTATAAAACGTTACAATGATGGAATGGTAATTGATGCAAGTAAAGGACTCGTAAATAAATGTCATGGACATTGATAAAATATCCCGAATTGAAATTTTTCTCCCACCCCCAATCCAAATTTCGCTTCTATTTTCAGCCTCTATTTTTTCACGTTTATAGTTTCTGGAGGATTTTTACAGGTTTCATTTATATATTTGTTGTTATTGATTGTATTAAACTCCTAGTTTGTACCTCAAATAGGCAGTAAATGAACAGTTTCCCACTCAAGTTTAAAAGAAGAGCTATTTCTGTTGAAAACTCTTCTTTTAAACGCGAATGGGAAACTATTGTTTCAAAATAGAATGATCTGACTGGTTAAAGTATCAAAGTAGATGTTAGATTAAACATTGAAGTCTCGAAAATAGAAGAAAAATTTTAACTCGGGATTTTCAATCTACTTTGATATTTTAAGCAATTAAATAATGCTCTTTTGAAACTATTTAATTTGTAGTTTTGATGAAAGCTCCTCTTTTAAATCTCTAAGTGAAAAAACTGTTTGTTCACTGCCAATTTCAGATACAAATTAGGAGCTCAATTCCCATATAAATTAAACCTGTTGAGAAATCTCCTTTAGAATTCACAAACGTGAAAAAATTAAAGTTGGAAATGGGAGCAAAATTTCGACTCGGGCGTCACATTTTTCCGGAGATTTTTTTTTTTTTTTT